ACCGATACGATTTAGCATAAATTTAGCAAGAAACACAATATCTATACTTTATAATAAATTATTTTATTAAATGTCTTATTTATCATAAATATATTTGCTATATTAAACTGCTTGTTTTGGAAGTGGTAACTTCCTAAAAATTTATAAACTATAATTAAGATATTTATAAAAGTATAAATCAAATTGAGAGACGTCACAGCATAAAAGCTGTGAAAGAATTCAATCTTATAACTTCAGCTCGATTTAAAAATGTGTACGAAGTAAGACCAAATGTTTTCCAAGTCTATTTGAAACTATCAGGCCGTGCAAACACTAAAAATGCATAGCTTTTAGCGCGGTTTTCATTGACTTGCGAACACAATGTCATTGTCAAAGTTTAAGTTTTTAAATCTGTAATTATGAAATATATTTTAAAATTGTTCAATAAATATGTATAAAAACAACAAATAGCAATAATAAATTAAAGAAAACAAACAAACAAAATAAGCGAGCAAAAACAACCCGAAATACCTAACAAGAGCCAATCTCACCACCTACTACAAATGTGCAATAGCATCGTAAACTAATTACATAAAAAATTTACAACGAGAATTCGAGCTAGATCTAGCTCTTCGTCTTTACTCTTCAGTTTATTGACTCTTCGTCTTGTCAGTCCAAGCGACGCCATTTTGATTTGTATCCGTCGATTTCGTCTTTTCTATTGAAGGTTTTGATTGGCTGCTTTTTCTCCGACATATTACAAGGGCTAGAATAGCCATCACGTGACCAAAAAAGTACATCGATCTGAAAGTAAAAACACGAAAAAATAATCAATACAAGAATCCGTTTTTAACTGTAAGCTTCATCATTTGCCGAAGTGAAAGTTGATTGGATGACATGATTCCTTCACGTATCCTTGCACCATCTTGAAACGTGTTCGTCCAAGTTTGCTTACGATTTTTGTCCTTACTGTAAAAAAGATTTCTCGCGGAACGCGCGCTTACCAGATGACGTCCCCAGGGTTTCACAAAGACCTGGCTACATTTCAAGTTGGCGCAAGGACCAAAAAGGAAACTAGTTTTCGATCATAAGTGATTTAAAAGACAAAATCAGTGACCATGTTTGGCGGCATAACTATAAATATACATTGCCAGGCGCGTAGCGTGGACCTTTTGGCAAATACGCATATGGCCGGTACCGCGACACATATTTTGGATTGGTGGGCTAACGACCTCCGAAGGCGGGAGTATTAAGGGGGATCGGGGGATCCTCCCCCAGGAAATTTGGAAATGATAACTATTGGAAATGCGATTTTCAGCGTTTTGAGGGGAATCGAGAGCATATAAAAGGCATCAAATCCCGAAACTTTTAACATTTCCTTACCACTAGTACGCACGTGCGTATATTCGTAAAGGTCTCTACGCGCCTGATTACTACCTTGACTTTGAATAAAATCCAGCAATACAACTAGAGATTTGTTTTACCTCCAAAAACGAATCCCCGCCCACAGGTCGAGCAGAGCAAAGGGGATTGTTGCGTACACAAGAAACAAAGCAGTCGTTAAGGCCGTGATGACGTCATAAGCMCGTGATGCAAGCGGCGTCTTCTGAAACTTTTCTCTTAAAGTTCGTCGGACCTAAGAACAAAACCCGTGAAACGGAAATTAATATCAGTGTGAAACAAGGCAAAAAATTCACATAAATTATGCCACTGACTAGTAGTCTTTTAAGACTGAAAAAAAGTATTTAAAAAAAAGTATTTTACGGGTTAAGTGTAACGACTCTACCAACGACGACAAAGTCACGTGATGCTTCATTCGAACAGTGATTGGATGAAATCTTACCGCTCGAGCAGCTTCCACGAATAACTGACTTGTAAAGAACGTTAAGTAGTATCCCCCGTAGAAACCATGCCACACGGCAGACAACACAAAGACGCCCATTGTACGATGGTTTGTCAGTCGGTCATAAGCTGTCCTTCGAAGCCACCATACGGTCGTTATGTTCCAGTTTTCTAACACCATTTTGCAATTAAGCCCAAACTGAAACGATAAATTGAGATTAAGGTCAAGAAGACTGCGTCACTGGTTTCTAACAAAGCTGCAATCTTGGGGGTT